AAAAAACAAAAAGAAAAAGGAAAATATGGAAATAAGTAAATAGTGAACTGTAAACTTAGTCTTAATATAAAAGAAAACGAACTGATGAGAGAGAAATTCTCCGCACTGTTTTCAAAGAATAAACATGTTAATTTAACATTAATCTAATGGTAATTTGAATATAATCGGTCAGTTTCTCAATGGGAAGAGAATTAAGTTATAAATTGGTGACACTTCGTCGTTTAAATGAAATGTTTGTTGATCATTCAGAGGCGTTATAACGGAAATTCAACGATTCCAAACGTTTACACATGTAAAACGTGTTAAAAGTCAATTTTTTATAAACTGTTTTAACGCGTTTTTGTCGTTTGGTTGTCTGCTTGGGCACACCCACACTCTTTTGAAGGAAACATTTCCAAAATAAAAATTTTTGAATTCTCAAAAAGGGTATTTTTCTGGCGAAGGCTCTCTTAAATATATCAGAACTATCTACGCTGAAAATTTAAGCAAATAATTAATTTCGAGCGCTCGACTCGTACAGTCGGTGTGTACCCGCGGATTCGCTCTTAAGAGTAACCGTGAACGTGTTTGAACCAATTTTTCACTGTATATACATTTTTCATTTCATTCTAGATCAAGATGAATAATTCTATCGAACGTGTTATCGATGATCCACAATCAGATTTATTCGTCATTAAACCTATCGATGGTAAAGGTTTTGGTATGTTTGCCAAATGTGATCTACAATGTGGTACAGTTATTGTATGTGAAAAACCATTAATGAAATTTCCAAGTTATTCATCATCTATACTCCTAGAAGCGATCTATGATAAATTAGATTCGGAAACCAAACGTCGTATTCATTTTTTACTTGCATCTCAAACACGAAAACATCCTCTTGTTGGTATATGTGATACAAATAGTATTCCATTGGCCTATGATTCCAACGAAAAGGGTTTATTTTATTATATATCAATGGTCAATCATTCATGTGAATCAAATACATTTTGGATATGGTTTGATTATAATAATAAACAAGAAATGAAATTAATTGCTGATCGTCGTATTAAAGCTGGAGAAGAGCTTGTTTGTTCATATATAGGTAATTATATAGTTAATTGGACATGTCAAATTTTGTCGAAGAAACACCTTTCTAAAGTCGTTTATGCTTTTC